GCCAATTCAATAAAAAGAGATCAGATATCCCACTCTAGACAAACTTGTCATAGATGTTATAAAACTAAGAATGAATTCAATCTGAAGTTTTTACAGTCCTTTGAAAAAAGCTATAAAAAAATATTGAAGTAAAGTTTTAGCTTCTCTCTGCTGGCTCCCTGTCAAGTCCAGAATTGAATTCAAAATCTTCCTTCGAACCTACAAAGCTCTCAACAACCTAGCTCCATCTTCTATTCAAGCTCTTTTTGTTCCATAGTTTCCTAACAGAGCACTTTGCTCTCAGACTGCAGGCTTACTTGTGGTTCCGAGAGTTTCCAAAAGCAGGATGGGAGGAAGATATTTCAGTTATCAGGCTCCTCTCTTATGGAATCAACTTCCATTTTCTGTCCGTGAGGCTGACACATTGTCCAGTTTTAAGACTGGGCTTAAGACTTTCCTTTTTGATAAACCCTATAGTTAGGGTTGGCTTGTCGTGACTACTAGATGACAAATTGACCTCATTTCCTTAAAGGATTTGCTCAAATTGAAGAGTTTTCATTTGATACTATTTCTATCTTAACATGTGATTCTTGACAGGCCATTGTGTATCTGTTCATACCAAACCCAGCCAGTCGAAGCAGATGGCCGCTTGTCCTGAGCCTGGTTCTGCTAAAGGTTTCGTCCTCATGAGGGAGTTTTTCCTTTCCACTGTTGCCTTCATGCTTGCTCAAGATGAGAGTCTGTGATTGAGTTAAATTCAAAGCAGTCTGCTCTTCAGATAAATAATGTTAGATTATTATTTTTATATATGAATGTTTCTGTTAACTTATAGTTACATGTTAAAGTTTTTGTTCAGTGTCCTGAGATGACTTCTGTTGTGACCTGGCGCTATATAAATAAACTGAATTGAATTTATAGTACTTTGTTGTATTTTTTATTACATTGAATGGCCAGTAGGGGGAGCTGTAGCCTACTCTTAGTGCTTTCCACAGTTAACCATATCAATTTGTTTAAACCTTTTTTTAACCACTGTTAGTGTCCCTTAGTTTGTGTAATCTTAATAATATTAATTTTATGTTAAAGTTGTATAGTGACTATGAAACAAAATAACATGGCTGAAGTCAGAATTAGCAAATTAGGAGCTAAAGTGTTTTTCTATCAGATTCAGGCTCTTGCAAAACACCAGTAGTACCTCAAATATATGAAAACATTCTATTGACAGTACTTATTTTATTCTTTAGTCGGATTTCATGTACTTGTAAGCCATTATATATGCAGTATATGTAACTTCGGTGGTGTTAAGTATGAGAGTACGCCTTAGAGCCGTAATGAAAGTGTCGCAATTGCCACGCCCGAAAACAAACGGTGTTTGTAGCTCGATGTAATTCAGCTACCGGAATGAATTTAAGACTGCTCAGAATCGTGCCCGCGCAGGCGTGGCTCTCGGGCTCGTGCCCGCCACCCCTCCCCCACCAGCTACAAACCGCGGCTGCGCGCTCCCGTGAACTAATTCATTGTATCAGATTGAGACGGGAGGAAGCAGAAAGACCGGAGAGCCGCTGAGCTTCGAGGAATACTGAGCAAAAAAACCCACTACTCGGCACAGAAACTAAAGGTAAACTACTTTGTTGAATACCAAGCCACAATGATGGGATTCTGGTTTGTCGTAGCCGAGTTTAAAAGTTTAAAGCATTATTTTTTAAAGTTGTCCTTGGCTTTGAGAGGCCGTGCTAGCGAGGTTAGCTTACTGTAGCTTCCGTGCCGCTTCCGCAGTTGCCTCGTTATTTCTATAGAAAACTGTTGCGCTGTTAAGCCTCGAAACTCTTGGGACTAAATTTAACCCCGCACAACGAAAGGCTTTAGATGAACTGTGAAAACAAGTCGGTATTAAAAACTGAAGCTTCAAGGACTGGCCTAGATTTGCGAGCCGCAACCAAACAATGAAGTCCTTTTCCTTACTTGCCTCGGCTCATCAGCTAGGCTGGCGGCTTCCCTAATAGTTACAAAAAAGTTCAATTTTCACTTTAATAAATTGCACATTAAAGTGAAGCTGAGCAGTCCGCAAACTTTATTTAAATACTACATCCGCATTTTATCGACTGATTTGAAGGGTTTGGTTAGAACCACATAACACATCGGTTCAACTTTAATGATTTATTTATTTATTTACACATTGTAGTGAACACCTTAAACCGGGTCCTTCGTGTATTATGTGGATCTGACTCGGTGTGTTAGTTTGTGTGGGCCACCCACCTTTTCTTTCACTGCGGACACACTGGCCATCTGTTGCCTGTGTGATGACGCCATCTTTCTGGTGACCCACCCAGATGTTTAAAAAAAGATGTTTTAACACTGGTCATTTTAACTGTGGTATAACACAACTTTTCCCGTCCCTCTTTATTCAGTTGTTAGCTCACTACACATTACAGATGCCCTTTTTTAAAATCAGCTACATGAGTGTTAATAATTAAATCACCACCTGGATGGAACCACTGTCAAAATGACGTGTATAAATTTTTTATTGTGAATCCTCACTGACTTTTAAGGTCTTAGATTTGTAATAATGCAGAGAATGTCAAAATGAGACACGTCTTACGCGTGTAGCACATTTTCCGTACAATGACACGCGTTCAGATCTTTTAAAGAGGCATAATTTAACAGAAACTAGTTTTCAGAATGGAAGTGACTCAGTTTTTTAATATCGGTTCTTATTTGGATTATCAAATTGGTGTAGAACATTTTTCTACACAGCAGTTTTGTTTCCTTTGCCAATGCTCATTTTGCTGTGCGTGACACAGGTATGATGTGTGTGGTGCATGGTTTTCACTGCAGGTTTTCACGCCACCACCCTTGTAGCTGTTAAATAAAATCACATGTTCTCCTCAGCCACGCAGAGGTGAGCTAGTCTGTGTGGTATTTAAATAAATGACTAAATACACAGGAAAAATACCCAGTATTTAAGGCTTCTCATCCGTAAGTACATATGCTGCCCATTTTGGACAATTCTTTTCTCTTAGTGCCAAAGAAATGATCGTTTAGGCAGCAATAGCTTTTTAGTCATTTGCTAAAATTGTTTCAAACACTTTTAAGCAACTGAGCTGTGTGACATGAAAACAAATCCTTTGGGGGTCACCTTGACAAGCCATTTACTGCATTAGACATTTTTTGCATTTCAGCAACTTCTTTGGATATGCCTAATTTGTAAACTGACAGTTTCTCTCTACGTCTCACGGTTTTGAGTCAGTGTTGGGGTTTGATCACTGTGATGCACCGGTCGTCATCTGTGAAGTGTAGGTAATGTTGACGTAATGGATGCACCAGTTGCTTAGCTGGTGGGTGGAAACTGGTTACTTTGTCTGAATGTAGTGCAACGAAAGTACGAATGCATAATATATTATGCACTTGTATTGCTTTATATTTAAGTTGCATAAGTGAACTCTGTTAGATTTAGAAATGCACAAATAATATTTTTGGATTAAACGAGAACACGTCATCTTTGTACTAAATTATGCAGATACTTGCCATTTTAGAGCTAAAGAGTAAAAACTAAACTGTTCACACACCATATTAGTCATTAAATTCAGACCTAAGCTAAGAAAGTTACTATGGAAATAAAGCTACACATTTGGTTGTTTAGTTTGGGTCATCTATAATCTCTTCTAATTTAATCTAAATTAAATTGTATTATTTATTTTGTTGACCAAAATTCTGTCTTAACTTGAGCTTAAAATATACTACAAGCTGATAGAAGTGCTTTTGGGCTATGATACCCCCCCCCCCCACACACACACACACACCAAAAAAGCACAATTTGCATTTATTTTCATTATTAGTATTAGTGTTTTTTTAATTAAAATATAACTAATAGTAACTCCCTCCAAGGCAACTGTTTTTCTTTTTTGTAATTACATCTTTTATCATCTTTCCAGAGTGTTTCAAGTTTACTCATCGTGTTATTTTTAACTGATCTACTTGAAATAAATAACTGTTCCTTATTTAATACTTTTATTACAAATGTAGTTGTAAAATGATTACATTTTGACAAATCCTAATTTAATTTCAATTCTGGTGATGGAGCTAGTTTAGATCTAACGGAGAGTTTACACCAACTGCTGGTCTTAACTGAAGAGAGATTGGTTTGTTGTTCTGTCATCATGCATTATGCTGCACATATAACTTATGGTCATTCATAATAATGGATCAGTTAAAAAATGGAAGTCCTTCACAAAAGCAGAAAACAAAACACCTGCCAAGTCCTGTCTGGGGCTGAAATATTTACCTCTCTGTAGTCTGTTAACGTCCTAAAGCTGGGGCTAATTTTCCACCCAGAAGACTGCGTGGGATATTTCCTGCTATCAGCACACGCAGGCCTTAAAATGCAACTGCAGCATGTGAGGTTTTACCAAAAGGACACGATGAATCATTGTGCAAACAGTAGCCACTTTGATCATACTTCAGAAGCTGTGTCATACAAGGTGGTAATGCCTAACGGACAATGTTGCATACGTCAACAACTCCGGAACAGTTTGGGTTTTTATAGTAAGTGGATTTGACATGCTGACCTGCTGTCAACAATACTGATTGCACCTTTGATTGAATCAGTTTGATCACAATGGATACTCATTCATTCTGTAGTAGCTAAATAAGTCACTTCTGTTGGAAGAATTAAAAAATCTTTGCAAATCTTTCTCGAGTTAAGAATAACTTAACGTATGTCTAAATTATCAATCAATCCCCTGTTGGGACAATTGGATGAAAATTTATCAGTGTTTGATGAAGTCATAGATGATCTGTGAAAAATCTTACTCTTTGAATTGGTTGTTCTTGCACCACAGTCTATAGAGACATGTGAACCAGTTATATACCAGTCAGACCACTCAGGTCTGCAGACCATATTAGCGCGTACCTCTACCTTTTCCAAATCAGGGAAACAGCCTTTTATATTTGTGCTAGTAAAGTTGATTGCACTGCTTTTAGACCTGGGAGATGCGCCCACTGCAAACCATTAAAAATGGGTAAATGTTTCTATTGAAAAAATCATGTAAGTGAATCTGTGTATTGTAAATTAGCACTATCATGGTTCTACTCTAGAAGAAGTTTTTATTCACCATATGAATGCGTGTTTAGACCGTGTCTGCATGTCTATATAAATATGACTTAATTGGGAAGCACACATGGCTGCTTTAAGAATTAAATGCCTTAAATTTTTATTGACTTTATTAGTTTCACTTGATCTAAGAGGGGAAAAGTCTAATGTGTATATATAAATTTTCCCACTAGATTAAATGTTGTACCTTTCATTACAAGTATATTTAAGTTGACTGATTTTACTCTGTTTAATCAAGTAGTAAGCAATTTGGACCCAGCGTAAAAGTAGTGAAGTCTTGTACAGTTTTTTTTGCATGTTCTTTAATTTTAGATATTTGAATGGAATATTTTGCTGATAAGAAAAAAATTGATTTCTTTCATCTGATTTTTTTATTTTTTTATTTTTATTTTTTTCATTCAGTGTTTCCCCTATATACAAGCAGGGCGCCCTGCCCTGTCAACAGAACCGAGCAGCCCCCACCTCGTCAAGTGCCGGCACTGACATAGCACTAAGATAATGACTCGCAATACAGACGTGCTAGCTAAAAAGCTATGACAATGGAGGTAGCGCTCCATGTGTCTACTCACGCTGAACCATCTCCACAACCGCTGTCGGTACAAACAACGCGCAACACAGACGTGTGTTCCCCCCTCCCCAACAAAAATCATGGAAGATATGAGCGCCCCAAGGCAAGTAAACTAGGGGAAACACTGTCATTACATATTATATTTCAATATTGCTAAAAACTGACCGCTGAAATTAATTTGTGTGAATGCATCCTGAATGCTTCCCTTATTTTTGTCTTCCTTTGCCTCGTTGACTGATGAGTTTAGTACTTTTTAGTATTTTCAAAGTTAAGTGCGATGAATAAAAAACATTGTGGTAGGCATCCATTTGTTAAAAGCAGGACACAAGTATTTATCCACTGACTGTATTATTCAGACATTGACCAGCCCCTGAGCTACAGCTGTCCCCATTTTTGCCTTTTTATGCTCATGTCATTGAAGGAATGGTCTTAATCTTTCTTGACACTGTTGTCCTACTTAAATGTGTACCGTTATGGAAAGCTTGCACCTTACAGCACCTTCGGGGGATATCTGCAACAGACCTAATTTAGCTATAGACAGAAAAGACTGAAATATAGTTAAGCTATCTTTTTATCATTTTGTATGTCCTACTGACAGGAAATTGGTGAATGTAAACTCTGGGTCTCATCAGTTTTGTTGCTGTGTTTAGGCAGACACAGGTTGGTAGTATTTTGGACTTTCTTTGGGGTTTTGGCTGTAGAGTTGTCTATAACTTTGTCATCAGACAATATTTCTTTACACAGACTTCCCACAAATGGGATTCATTTTTCAACACCGCTCCAGACCAGTTCCAGATCAAACCAACAACCTAAATGATGATGACTCAGATAGAAAGGGGCGGTTTCAGGGAGTGTGCTCTTCACCACACTTCCACCTAACTAGGCGGTGCAGGAAACGAGCCATGTGACATGATTGACTTGAGTGTTTCTAGACCATTGAGTTGGAGGGAAAATCCTGTCTTGCATTAGCGCTACTGTGAAAAATCTGGTGTTTTTGTTTGTTTGATGAAGGGATTGCTTTTGTATTTTCTGACTTAATAATGAGTTCCATGAACACACATCTTGTGCTTCTAAGGAAGTAAATGGTCAGTTTGGTGTTGTAATGTTGTTTAAACATGTTTAGCTTTAGATCAGTAGTTTTTAATGGTGAGAGACATTTAACAATGTTTTCACAGTATCAATGTTCATCAATACCTTTTCCCCAACAAAATATTAAATCTGTATGAAGCTTATGAAACCGAACTGCCTCGTTTATTTACCCTAACTTCCTTTTTAGCTCTTGTGGTTGAATACATTTTCACACCTACTCTCCTACACTGGGGTATTGCTGCCATAAATTACTGAAACGTTGGCTAAATGTGATTTACTGATGGTGCATTGTTTTGCCCTGGAGTGATGATGTTTGAGGTCAGGTCAGGAAGCTGCACTGTTGCAAGTGGCATGAAAGACTTTTGAAGACCAACACTGTTGGAGTGTATTTTCTATTTGTGCACTTCAGGCTTTCACAACTCTTGTTCTTTAAGGTAAAACATTTAGTCAAATGTATAGGAATTTTTGCTGTTGTCTAGCCAAATAATGGATATAAAGGTTTTCAAACGATTATTTCAAAGCCATTAAAGTAGATGGATAGATTTTTTTTATTTTTTATAAATCTTTAAAATTCTTAAGCACAGGTTGAGAGCCACTTTCCATTGGTGTGGGTCAATGTGTCAAGTGTAGTGTTGCTTTGTGCTTTTGCACTGTGCACAGTTTGTCACAGTTGTCATCACTTACATGGGGCGGCTGTGGCTGAGTGGTTAGAGCAGTCGTCCTCCAATGCAAGAGTTGGTTTGATTCCACCAGCAGTCGCATGCCCAAGTGTTCCTGGGCAAGACGCTGAACCCCTCATTGCCTCCAATGTGTCCCATTGGTGTACGAATGTGATAAAACGCTGATTATTCTTTGTATAGTTCTAGTAGAGTGCTGAATGAATGGGTAAATGAGGCACATATTGTTGTGTATGGTGCTTTGAGTATCTTGATAAGATAGACAGGTGCTATGAGTACAGTCAATTTACCATTTACATGTTAATAATGCCTAAAATAGACCCTTAAAGAGGTTTCAGAAAACCTACCTCATCAATTATTGTCCCCCCTTCTTCACATTTAGCTTTTTCTTCTGGATTATAACCTTCATTTTCTCACCTGCAGGGATGGCAGCCATCCGGAAGAAGCTGGTGATAGTTGGAGATGGAGCTTGTGGCAAGACGTGTCTTCTCATAGTCTTCAGCAAGGACCAGTTCCCTGAGGTCTACGTCCCCACGGTGTTCGAAAACTACGTTGCTGACATAGAAGTTGATGGCAAACAGGTGAGACATCTGCAGTAGTTTGGTGATGCCACGGTTTTTATTGATCATCTCATTAGCGTGGTTTGCATTGGGGTCCACATTTATAGTTTTGTTCTATCCTTCGTAACTCACTGTTTTATTTGAAAGGCTTGAATTTGGCTGTAAATTTACTTTTAAATTATTGTAGTGTGCATATTTATTTAATACACTAATGCTTTCTAAATGTCACCACATTTCCCTATTTGTCTGTTCTTTAACAGTGCCAAGTTCCACAGCTGTAAGATTTTATTGATTTGCTGGTGTAAAAATCTGTATAGATCCTTTTAGAATAAATGTTGAAAAAGTGTTAGGTGAGCTTCTATAATCATGTTAGTGAACTCTTCTCTGGCTCGCAGCCTCAACAGTCACAAATTCATGTCCTGACCTCATTCTGAGTTAATTGGATTCTGGGGTGTTGATTCTTTATTGGTCAGTTGATTTCTAACCAGTTAACGAAGACACAGGCTACTTCAAGATCCACACTTCTGTAATTGTTTAAATCTGTTTAACCATTGCTAATTATCTATAATATTGCTTTTTTTAGGCTTTCAGTTCAGTCAGATGAAATGAAATATCATATCTCAAGTCTTTTTTTCCCTTTGTTTCTTTTATCTTATGTTTGTGTACCTTAGGTGGAGTTGGCTCTTTGGGATACAGCTGGTCAGGAAGACTACGACAGGCTGAGACCTCTCTCCTATCCAGACACTGACGTCATCCTCATGTGCTTCTCCATAGACAGTCCTGACAGCTTGGGTGAGTACAAACTGCATTCTCACTGATGCACACATGCTTGAGGCGTGACTAAAAATGTCACATTTCTGTCTTTTCTATACACACTTCCCTATTTTCCTAGTTTCCTTTTAATAAAAAAAAAAAAAAAAAAAAAGTTGGTTTTAGACTGAGAGCTCCTTCTGCGGTGACTCAAGACCTCTTGGTGAGGAGCTGCTTGTGTTTGATCACACACACTGATGCAGAGTGAAGTCATTTGTCAGATGGTGTCCAGTGTTCAGTGTTTCCCCTAGATAACTTGTCACTTGCGCTCATCTCGTCTGATTTTTGTGGGGGGACGGAACGGATGGAGACATGTCCCGGGGGGGGGGGGGGACGCATCTGAGCCACGCAATGTTTGTACAGACAGTTTGAGTGGGAGGGGTTCAGCTTGAGTGAAGTTACTGCCTTTAGCTTTTTAGCTAGCGCACCTGTATTGTGAGCTGCGCTAGCTTAACATACCATTTTATTTATAGAGCACTGAAAACAGCGACATGGCCAACCAAAGTACAAAATGAATTAAATCAGAAATATAGACATAAAAACGATGCAGATAATGACGACTAACCAGTGTGGAGCATACAGGTTAAAAACTCCATAGCTTAGTGTTACGTCAGTGCCGACGGGGGGGGTCGGGGTGCAAGCGGTTTGGTAGATGGGGCGCTCGGTTCTGTTGAAGGGGTGTGGCGCCCTGCTTGTATAATGATAGGGGAGACGTTGGTGTCATTTAGTTCAGCTGAAATGCAAGTCACATATTTTCTCATTACGAATGGCAACTCTTGATTATATGGAGTTGACTTTTCTCAAGATAAAGTTATAAAAGCAAAAAAAATGTAGCTCCCAATTGAGTTATTGGTTATTACTACTTTTATGTTGTATTATTACAACATGATAATTGTAAACAAACTTTTGAATTTTTGCAATAACGTTATCTTATGTGGTTTTAATGGACATTGTTTCTAACATTTATGCTACTTGAGGCTAATCAGTTTTTACCACATGAAGCTTATCAACAGTTCGGGAAACACTTTTTTTTTTTTTCAGATGGAATCAAAACCACTCCAGTCAAGAGGAGAAATATCCACAACACGTAGCAATTCAATAAAGTTAATACTATTTAAATAGCTATCAGTTGTTGTTTTTTCATTTCAGTAAATTTTACCATATAGCCAAAAAAAAAAAGGTGCAAACTTATTTTTTTAGGGATGCACGATATTATCGGCATGGTATCTGTATCGGCCGATATTAGCGATAAAGTTAAATATCGGACATCGGCCATTCCATGAAAATATTTCACAGATATAAAATGCGCATATTTTTTATATATATTGTATATATTTTTATATAGTGTTACATCATTTTCAGCCCCCTTTCTGGCATCTGTATTTGGTAGCAGGTCAAATTGACAAAGACCATCCAGAATAATGTAGTATTTTAATTCCACAGCAGAGAA